GCTCTCTCTTCACCACGACGGACCGGTACAGCGCCCGCTTCACAGCAGACGCTGCCCCGATCCGTCTGTCGATCTCCCGTTCCCTTCTTCCCTCATTCGTGAACAAGATCCCCAGATACTTAAACTCCTCCACTTCAGGCAGGACGACCCCCCTGACCCGGAGAAGGCACTCTACTCAAATTTCAGGTTAATTCAAATAAAACGTCCATACATTTTCAACAATGTCCTTAATATATAGTTTTAAAACGTTGAATGCTTCTTCAAAGCTTTTGTAAGTTAGTGCTGTTGGCAAGTTCGATGGATTTCTTTATTAGCCAAGTCCTTCGACACAGTAGGTCTATAACTCACAGAAAATCTCATTTTGTTTTTCAAGAATATAAGTCTCAAACGCAGCATCAGGCTCAAGAGCTCTCTCTTTATATTTGAATCTCAAAATAGCAGGTTAGACTTCTTGTCGTCGACATCACATATCTAAAAATCAAGAACTGTCCTTTTAAAATTCCTTTGACAGCCCAATTTCTGACTATTTTCAGGTGTGGATGCAGTAAATATTAGCTTTTCAAATAAAAACTACCACCCTCAGATATTTAAAGCCACAAATCAAGAAATTTTTTCTCCTTTTTTTTTTCTTGGCAGACTGTTTCAAACCAGCTGCAGGCAGCTTCAACAAACCTTAAATAACATCAACCTGAGCCCATGTCTTCTGCCACAGCTAAATTTCAGGATTTTTCTAAAGAAGCTAAGAGAATGCGCCGAGTTCTCGCTTGAATCCAAACAAACTGGATGTTATAGCAGACACCTGACTCCTCCCTGGTTATGAAGCAGCTCATATGAGTTCAGCACAAACAGCTGATGTCTGCAGAGGACCCTGAAGGCTGTAGGGAGGGAACAGCAGATGTGGCAGGATGGCATGTAGTGTGAGCCGCTCCCTACTCCGGAGACACATGGAAAGACAGAGAGCGGTGGACCTCTGGTCAGCCGGTGGCCACAAATATGCTGAAAATGAGACATTAAAGGATTGTTAGGAGATGCTGTAATATTTTCCGCAACATGCCTCTTCAGAGAGCTTTTGCCTTCATATGAGAGTGACAGGCAAGCAAGTCAATCTTAAAAAAAAAAAAAAAAAAAAGAAGCAAGGTCACTATTTTGAAGTAAGCACAGCTAAAGACTCCAGAGTAATTTGGTTTTATGGAGGAAAACTTAATTTTAAATCCCACAAAAGAGGATAGAAAAAGTTGCAAAGGATGCTGCAGTGTGTGGTGTGGCATCTTGTTCTGCATCAAGATTACAGGCGGCATAATTATTTGGCAGAAACACAATAGAGGATTGGGCCTTGGATATCGCAGGATATTCACACAGACAACACTGAATGAAAGGAGCTTTTAGTGTCCATCGGAGGCAGCTCAGGGACGCCAGCCTTTGGGCTGTTCAGAGGTTTCAACTTGGCCATAAACACTTTTTAGCAATTGGCAGCTTTTTGCTTGCCATGTGGTTGTTTACTACGTCGGAATAGGTGATGTGTTTTGCCCGTGTTTGGACATCGGCTGCCAAAAGAGCTCTTTCATCAAGCCTCTTGCTTTAAACCTCCATCAGTGACAGAAAGCCTGCAGGCTGCAGTGTGGTGCGATCCTCTGGGAAATGTTGGCTTGTTTGTTTTGATTTTCTTGATTTTTTTTTTTCTTTGTTTCTGTTTATCGCTGAATAAAACACACACTTGACCAACATCACTGTTGCAATTTTTGGGTTTGCAATATTCAGTGCACAGTCAGGTTAACTTCCTGTTCCAGAGAAAAGTTTACTCAGACTTACCAAGCTTACCAAGGCACGAAGGTAATACCTTTTTAGGTTTTAATGATTTGATGGAGAGTTTTATTTTCAAGATGATGTAATTTATAGCATCAGCCATTTTCAAAACCCAGAATTAGGAGCACAAATTTGAATGTATGGTGGATTTTCCTTAATTCAAACTCTAATTCAAGATACTTAAACCTAATCAGACGTTTGTGGACAATTTCCGATCAGTTTTTTTGTTAAATTTGATCTTCTGATATCAATCTGATCCAACGTCAAGCCACTATGTGAGAGAATAATTGATTTAAAATTGGGTTTTGATCATTCAAAACAGTCGAAACTGACATTTTAAACTTACTTTTTCTTTTTTTGTGTGTTCTGATTAGTGCAGTTAGCATGGTCAACATTATTGTGGCCATGTGTCACATAAATCTGAAGTTACTCTACCTTCTAACTTTTTGCATACTTTTTGTTGAAAGCACCTGCACTGGCAGTAAAACAGTCCCATAGGATGATGCTACCACCACCATGCTTGACAGTTGGTACAGTGTTCACAGATGCGACTCTTCAAGCCATCCTTTTGTCATTGTGATCTTTGAATGACATGTACATACATATAACTTATTGAAGTAGTAATTATAATACCTGTAGTTATTTAAAAGTGACTTCAGGAGACTTTTCCTTGAACTCCTTGCTAAATTAAAAGACATAAAACTTAAATACTGTATATTTAAGTCTGTATGAATAAATCTGACAGAAACCTGGAAGGAAACGTAGCGGGTGGTCCAGGTGTCTTTTGCTCAGGGGTTTTTAACCAAATATTAGTGGCTGCGTATGCATTGCTTTGAACTTGTATGTGTAATTAAGCTTTTATGTGGATTAGGGAAATTTTAATAGAGATTAAAATGTATGTGTCTAATTCCTGTATTCCACAGGAAATACAGTTCAAAGAAATTATTAAAAGCCCCAAAATGAGATAGTCACTGTCATGACTATCTCATGACAGTGATAGTCATGAGATTTATGAGGTTGATCTACGACTGTATTCGTCTGTAGTGTTATACTTTATGTCATGTAAGCTTGTTTAAGATTATGTTTGTTGCATTTTATAAAGTTTGACTTCTATACAATATGCTCTGTTGTTTTACTGAAAGTTTGGATGGATGTCTAAAGAGTTTGCTCCTTCTGTTTCTGCCCTTGAGCAACACAGTTAGAGACGTGTCTTTCTGTCCAGCTGCTAACGGGATTCTGTTCACTCGCTGCAAGAAGACAAATCCAGAGCCAAGGGTGTTTTTTTTTTTTTTTTGCTCTTTTGCTTTTTGAGAAAATACGAAATTTGCGTCTGAAAATTCCTGCATTTCATTCATTTCTGTCTCTCCTCTAGTTATACTCTTGAGGTAAATGCTTGATATGCTTTTTAAAAATGTCTTTTCAGAGTAAGTTAGCTGCGCGGTCAGGGCAGTGCTGCACCGCACTCTCTCACGTTAATGCTGTTGTTAACAGCTTGTGGGCACGGGTGGTTTGTGTGGCTTTGCTTTTTTGAGCTGAAAGACTTGCTGAAGGCAGAGAGACAGCGTGGAAACCCTGGATCCTAAAATGAGCAGAGTGGGACCTGGCTCCTAAATATTCTGATTAAGTTGTTAAAGATTTAGAGCTCATCAGATCTGAAACTCAGGTTTAAGCATCTTCGCCGTTTAAATCAACTAAACTGAAGGAAATAAATCAAATTCCTGTTGACTTGTTTATGTCTGAGGTTGGATTTTGTGTCTCTTATTCTTGATGATTAATTCAAAGCCAAAAACGGCTCTGATTAGGTCACTGAGGATGCAGACAACCCTTCATTTTACTCTAAACAGGGACTGATTTTTCTCCCCCTTGTGTCTTTTCTAATCATTCTGAGTGTGATGAGAACATAGACAATTATTAAACTCATGTATCTACATTGGCCGAAACAAATGGATTTGTTTTTATATATATTATTCATATTTAATTGTTGTAGTCGTGAGAAAATTATCTAAGCTTGAAGTTTTGTCTTGAAATGTTGTATCAAAATATCAATAGAGGTTTAAATCTAAAATTTATTAAAATTTTGTCTGAAGGTAATCATCATCATTTAATTTACTTTTTAAAGCAATAATTATAACCACCCCCAATATTTTGACTAGCACACCTGTCAGATGGATTTATATCAATATTTTTATGACTAGATAATAATAATAATAATAATAATAATAATAATAATAATAATAATAATAATAATAATAATAATAATGGTGATGTTATTATTTATCATTAATATGAATATTCATCATTAATATAATAATATTTATTGCTTTTTTATTTCCTTCACAATTTATCAGAATAGTAATTATTTATCTAAATATATAATACAATAGATAATGTGATATAATTGCTTAAATTAATGTTACTTTTAATATAATTAAGTATGCTATAATAATAATAATAATAATAATAATAATAATAATAATAATAATGCTAAAGAAAAGTCAATAATAGTGCTTCTTTCATTCACTGTAAGCCCTCTAATACATAAAGGATTTCATATCTACCTGAATAAGTTGGAGATATTGTAAAACCATGGACACAATTTTACAGGGACTAAAGAACAGCATGTTATAACAAACTGATTTTATTAAAAATTAAAATATTTTATTATTAGTTTACTATTATTATTTTATGTTTATCTTGCTTAAACCAATCTTATGGGGAATAAACACAACTGATTAAACTCCTGAAATTTTGTTCTGGGTTTTGGTTTTGTTGTCCCCTTCTTACCACGCTCTACAAAACTTTCTGGAGATACTCTTGCTCTGTATTAAAATTTCATTCATTAATTAATGAATGAAGATGTCTAATAATTAGGTTTCCTCGTGTTCTTCAGATGATATTATCAGAAGTGACTAACCGTAGCCACACTGTTTCCCTCAGCACGTCTGGATCAGGTCTTGACTGCTGATATTGAACATTGGGTCTTCTTCCCATTGGTGACTGATGTTTACATCTAGAAATAAGGTCTGATTGTGAATTAATAGCTTTCCTCCTCAGTCGCTGTTACGATAAACCTGTTTATAAATAAACTATAAATAAAGTGGCAGCTGGTTTTACTGTAAACCGATGACTGTAAAAGTGTGTGAGTTTGTGGTTCAGGTCCTTTAAATCCACTCCGTCTGTGTCTCTCATCTCTGCAGGAGTCGGAAGATCCAGATCCGGAACATTCCCCCTCATCTGCAGTGGGAGGTCAGTTGTTTTCTATCTCTGTTTGTGTGTGTGTGTGTGTGTGTGTGTGTGTGTGTGTGTGTGTGTCAGTGTGTGAGAGACGGTGATGCCCCGTTGAACAGCAACAGGCGGCACATAAACCAGTTTCCTGACAATGAGTCACCGGCCTTTGTAGTTTGGGCCGAAGTGTTTGTGAGCACGCGTTTCGGTCAGTGTTTGTTACCGTGGCGATGACACTGCGTCGTTGTGTCAACAAGTTCTCTGTGTTCATGTCTCTGCGTTATCTACAGAGAAACTCAAAACATTTAAATGAATTTAAAAAGTACTTTTAAGGATTTAAGAGAAAATGTTTTGTGTTTAATAGATCATAATCCCGCTGCTGCTAATATAATATAACATCTTGACTCTTACAATCCTTCAAAGCAATGCCTGATTGTTAAATACATTTCAACATAAATCAGTGTTAACTCTACATGCAGGCCTAATTTAGACCTGTGTAAGAACAAGATTTAATCTATTTGGCCTGAAAGTAATCTAAGCTTATAAATTCATTAAAAATAAGGCATAAAAGTCTGTGACTTATGCAAAAATTCACATCTTCATTTAATCCAGGATGAATAGATTTCATTTACCTTTTTAATTAATTTTAATTTTTCACCGAAAGGATTGTATGATTTGCTTTATGAGAGCTGAAAATTGTGAAAATAGAGGCAAACATAATGACTTCTTTACATCTGTTTGAACTGTTCTCAGTATTGGAACCAAAGCCCATTTAGTTTTGCCAAAGAGCCACTTTTTTCGGCATCAACAGAGACAAAAGTTTCATTTTGTTTTCATAAACATAAAACTGTCAGTTGCAAAACAGAAATCCTAATTTCCGACCAGATGTACCCTCTCTCACTTAGCCGCGGCATCTGCAACTCAGTTGCTCGGAGACACTGCGGCTATTTCAACTTGGTATTAGCTGATTATTTATTAGCTATGCTTTTATTAAGCCAGGAAAGAGAATATTAGATTTCTTTCCGTTTGCTTGTCAGCAGCGCACAGGATCTGTTGCATCACTACATTGTTCTCCATTTATCTGGAGGGAACTGCAGTCATTTTGGACCCTTTCTGGCATCTCATCTGGCATTATATTGAATTTGATGGACTATTTTAAGAGTTTTTTCCCCTTGCCATATTTTGAGACCTGAGACCTTTCCTGGTACATTTCTGCGTACAAGCGCCTCAACACTGTTTAAAGAGTTAAACTACAGCTAACCTGGTTGTTGTTTTGTCTTTCCCGACAATTATGTCAATCACCTTAATTCATTTCTGACCCGTTTATTCTAACTTTGACCAATATATTTCTATTTTCTGGTTGAATTTTAAGTTTGTGTTCATTGTAAAACTGACAATTAAAAGCATAGATATTCTCCAAAACTTCTCTGGTATGCAGAGTTTTAAATTAAAATGCTTCAGATATTTACACAAAGGTATTCATCTGAAAAATAAAAAATACAAACTCCGAACACCTAAAAAAAAAAAAAAAAAAAAACTAAACTAACAAAAAAAAAAAAAAAAATGAACCTTTGTTTCTTTT